AGGCGTTCCGTCGGACGTTCGAATGAGCCCGCTTCCTCTGCAGTTTGAAGGGATGACCACGCAGACAGTCAGTCCCGGCCAATTTGAAGAATTCATTAAAGTCTAGGGCACACTCACGACCTCTGACAATCCTGTAGGTTTCGGTTCAGTTCAGTTCAGTTTATTGAGGGAAATAGGCGTAAGCCTTTGAGTACCCTATTTGCAACGTAAAAAATGTGTGGTGTACATATAGATGTTCTGGGCTGAAATAGTTCGAACACGCCCATAATGATGGGACAAAATGAGAAGGAGTTACAGGGGGTGAGCTCGACTTCTCATCGCTCTTGGTCATTTCGGAACATAAATATGTCCAGATTCTTCTTAAAACTTTGTATAGATGGTGACATCACAACATCTGCGGGAAGCTCATTCCATGGTTTGACCACCCGAACCGAGAAGGAGAACTTCCGCACATCCAGCCGTGCCTGCTGAGTGCGCAGTTTTAACGGGTGACCTCGGAGGTTGGTCGTGGTAGCAAATTCAAAAAAGTCCTCGAAAGCCAGACTGCAATCAAACCCCTTTACAATGCGGAAGGCTTGCAAGAGATCTCCGCGAAGTTACCTGTAACTCAAAGAAAGCGGTGCAGATTTACCAGGCGGGTTGCATAAGGAAAGGAGCTTTGATCCCTAACCATCTTCGTGGCTCTCCTCTGGACTCTTTCGAGGCAGTTTTGATCCATAACAGCCCACGGCATCCAAGCTTGTATGCCGTACTCTAAATGCGGCCGAACGAATGTTCCGAATGTCTTAGAGAAAGGTTCTTCGCCAACGTCCATAAACGCACGCTTGATGACGTACAGTACGGACATTGCACATTTTGCCACCCTCGAACAGTGGGCAGATGGCTTTAGGGAACTCGTCGTCAGCACACCGAGGTCCCTTTGGGCTTCGACCTCTTGTAGGGCTGCACCGCCCAGAAAGTAGCCTCTTGTGCTGGCGGATCTGGCTGTGTTGCCTAGGCGAAGTATGTTACATTTGGCCACGTTGAACCGCAGGAGCCAACGGTTTGACCACTCCTCCAACCGATTCAGGTTCATCTGCAGTCTGTCTTTATCGGCAGGACCCCGAATTACACTCCATATCTTCATGTCATCCGCAAACATTGCTACTTCACAGTCTAAATCTATTGCGACATCGTCCACGTATACAAGGAACAAAATGCGTCCCAGTACTGAACCCTGGGGGACATCACTATCGACCATAGCCGGATCTGATTTTCCCCGACCGATGCACACAACCTGGTGTCGACCCACAAGGAAGTTTTCGATCCATTTAAGGAAGTTGTCACTGATCCCTAGTTTTTTTCAGCTTTTGTAAGAGCCTTTGGTGTGGCACAGTGTCGAACGTCTTCTGGAAGTCAATGAAGATTATGTGGACCACGTGCCTGTCATCGAGATCTCGGGTCCAGTTCTGGAGAGATTGCAGCAAGTTTGTCGTGCAGGATCTTCCTTTCTGGAACTCATGTTGGCAGTTCGATAGCAGGCCGTGTACTTCCAGGAATTGCATCAGTTCACACTTTATGATCCTTTCCATAATTTTGCAGAGAATGCATGTCAAGCTTATGGGCCTGTAGTTTGTCGTCGCTGCCCTGTTACCTCCTTTGTGTAGCGGAGCAATATGCGCCAGCTTCCAATCGATAGGAAGGATTCCAGTGTCAAGGGACGTTTGAAAGAGCATCGACAAAGGCACAGAAAGCTCACTGGCAAGTTCCTTGAGAAGCCTGGATGGAATCTCGTTTGGTCCTGGCAACTTCGATTCGTTCAATGCCTCTAATTCTCTTCGGACAATACCTTCTGAGAAGAGTATATCACTGACGCTTGGAGTCGGCAGTTCTTCTGTGGAGGGAGGAAGGAACCTTGCCTCGTTTGTGTAGACTGATTGGAAAAACCGTGAAAAATACGCAGCTTTATCCATACTATCAGCGATCTCAACGCCATCAGTAGTCTTTATCAAGGGGATTTGATGTCTGTTCCATGTACTTCGTCGGAGGTTGCTGTAGAGCAATTTTGGGTTCTGCGTTGCTTTTTGTAGCAATTTCTTCTCGAATTCCCGCCGCGTCTGCATTATCAGCTTCCTCAGTTTGTTCCTCTGTGTCTTGTAGGTGTTGAAGCATTCAGCTTGTCTAGTGACGGAGTATTTTCTCCACAATTTGTGCTTCCTGTTGATTTCTTTCTTAAGGTTGCTATTTAGCCACCCAGTGCGTTTGTTCAGTCTTACACCAGACAGTGGGCAGTGGTTGTTGATGAGCTGCAGAAGGACATTCTTGTACAGCTCCCAGTCATCGTTGGCACTTCCCGTAAACAAAGAGCCCCAGTCAAGACTGGATAAGTCTGCCCTCATCTGATTGAAGTCGCCCCGCCAAACATTCCGTCTTTTGTGGTCTGGAGTATGTGAAATGGAGAATAACGAATAATCCCACATAAGCACTACGTGGTCACTTCGGCCAAGTGGCGGCATGGAGGTGATCTCGTCTATGCTGTCTGGTGTTTTCGTAAAGACCAGATCCAGGCAGTTTGCCCTTTGTCCTTCACGTGTTCTCGTTGGGAACATTACATGTTGTGTGAGGCACGCATTTAATGTTTTGCTAAACAGGCGGTAATCGAATGCCGATTTTGGACCTGACGCTTGGAGGGTATTCAAGTCTGTTCCTGGTGCGTTGAAGTCGCTCATGATCATGATGTTAGGTCGACTGGAAAATTTCTCCAACTGCTCCAAAAGTTGAATGTCGGCGATTCGGTCTGTCCTAGGTGGTCGATAGGCAGTGAGGACATCGAGACACGGGGAACCGGTAGCCTTGATGGTCAACCAGATAGCTTCCGTACTGCACGCAAACTTGGTGGTGTTATCCGACACTGCCAGACCTTCATTCACATACACAACGATACCACCACCCTGACGATGTTCCCTGTCCCGCCGATAAATTTGGTATCCAGGCAAGGCTTCTTCGTTATCGCTAATTTTTCCGGGTAGCCAGGTCTCAGTTGCTGCTAAAACATCTGGAGACAGCTCGGCAAGACAAAGTTTTAGTTCGTCTAGTTTCGGTATGAGGCTTTGGGCATTCGTGTACGCGACTCGTTAACTAAAGCCACATGCGGACGAATCTAATCGAGCGCGCAACCGAAGAAACCAAAACGTAAACAGACGAAAATGGCCTTGGTTAGGTAAAACAAATAAACGGCAAAATACAGCATGATTGAAAAGCAAAGGAATATGGCTATCAGAGGAAAAATGCGATAGTAAATTGCCTTTGAATAATGGCATTGCCAATTTACAACCGTTCAAATCGACCGTTTCTCATGCAATTCACCGCTAATATAGATAATGACAATAAGCACATTCATATCGCCATGTCTAACTGGATGACGTTTCTGGACGGACCATTAGAAGCCAAAAGCCATAAAAAACACAAATTTTGGGTGATGTATGTGAGATTTTAAGAACGAACGACTGTTCACCAACCATACTAACCTTCTAACTAACTAACTAACCAACTAATTAACTAATTAACCAACCAAACTAACTAAACTAACTGGCTAACAACGTACTAACTAAACTAATTAGCTAACTAACAAACCAAACTAAACTAAACCAAACTCACTAAGTAACTAACTAGCTATACTGTCTAACTAACCGACGAATAACTGTTTACCAACCATACTTACCATCTTACTAACTAACTAACCAACTAATTAACTAATTAACTAACTAACTAACCAAACAAACTAAACTAACTAACTAAACTAACTGACTAATAACGAACTAACTAAATTAATTAGCTAATTAACAAACTTAACTAAACTCACTAAATAACTAACTGCCCAACTAACAATGCTAATTAACTAGCTATACTGACTAACTAACCGACCAACTAACTGACAGTTCGACCATCGGTTTCGATGATGTCCACCGTGTGCCCCACAGTTGTAGCAGCAATGGGAACAGGGACGGTGACTTACGCAGGGGTTTATAGTGCCGGTAGACTTGCGTAGCATCTACCTACACACTCTCCTCCTCCCTCGCCCGAGCCCGGTGTCAAGACAGAGTCAAGAAGACCGGAGACGAGAGAGGCCGCAGGTGGATGGCTCGGGCGGATCCTCACCTTGGCGTTCCACCACACCCCCTGGTCCACACAACAAATAACCAGGATCTCAACCAACACAACAGAGATTTGGAGGCTGGCACGGCCGAAGCCGCTCCTGGGCGTGCCGCCAACGCCTGGCTCGGATCCCACACTGTGATGGGAGCGCCATAAATGCCACATTAAAAAGAAGCCATTGCAGCCTGACTCTCAGACCGCCTCCGGTCAAGGAGGAGGTCCAAGTTACCCCGTCAGTTGGCAACCTTCCAAGCCACGGCTTTTGGCGCACCGTGATAGCTTCAAGCGCGTCAGATTGTTTATAGTGAGGAGAAAGTGCTCTGAGTCGTCGACCTCACTCTCCTTTCCCACTCCCACACCCCAGCCGCTGTCCGAGCCGGTCAGCAGACTGCAGTGGGGAATGGGCGCGGTGGCTGCCATGGTCGACTGACCATGACGGCGCGCGCCGCGGCACGACCTGGCCCCCCATCCACACAACACCAAGATTTCACACAACGGGGGTTGAACGGCGTGTCTCTCACTTGCGTGAGAGTGCCGTGGAAGGTGCTGTTTCAGCCCGTCCCCAGCCCACCAGTCCGCCACTCCACACAACACACACACAACGCGACGAACTGCGTGAACCGAGAGCGGGCGTCAATCAGCAACCTTCCTATCCACGACGCTTGACGTGTCGGGATAGTCTCGGACTCAGGTCACCCGTGCAGCCGAAGCCGCATGGGGACCGAGTCGAAATGCGGACTTTCCACTTGCGTGGGAGGTGGCAGTTGGGTGCATGAGGTGTGTGAGTGTTGAGTTATGGTGGGGTGATGGTGGTGGTGGAGGAGGAGGTAGGGAGTGAGTGAATGTGTGGTGTGACTGGCGGTTGTCTACCGCAGGTCGTCGTGGATGCGCATGTGGCCGAAAAGGCCCATGCGATGCCTGAAGGTGCGAGGGCAGTGTGGGCAGTAGAGGCGAGTGCGGTGGGTGTAGGTTGGTGCTTCACGCACTGGTTCGCCAATCTCAGTGCGATGGATTCGTAAGTGACTGACCAGGCCTATGTGTGAGGTGAAGGTACGGTCGCAGTGAGGGCAGGTGTAGTCCTGATCCTCATCCCTGGAGTCGGGGGAGGTGGTGGTAGTGTCGGTTGCTGTGCGCGGCACAGTCGCCTGAGCGGCCGCCGTTGGAGCACTGGGCGAGGAGAAGGAGGAGGAGGAGGATGAGAAGGAGGATGATGGAAGTGGTGGGTCAGAAGAATTGTCAGGGTTAGTTGGCGGTGGAGAGGAGGAGGAGGAAGAGACAGGCGGGGGGACGATGGTTGGTGCCGTTCGAAAGGCGCAGTTAATCCAAAGATGTCCAACAAGTCCGATTCGAGCCCGGAATGTCCGTTGACATCGAGGACCCGTTGGAAGCAGTTGTGCGGCGGCGTTACTTACTTGGCGAAGTTGTGATTTGCGGGCTTCACGTTTGGCTTTGGCGGCAGCGATGCGGTCGGCATCGTAGATCGCAGCGCCTGTCTTCACTGTCCTCCTCCAGGTCGGTTCATCGAGTGCGAGCTCCTCCCAGTTGGTGGGGTTGATTTGCAGGCATTTCAGGGAGAATTCAGGGTATCCTTGTCACGGCGAATCTGGCCTCATTGACGGCGAGAACCCGTCGCGACGTCTCCGTAGAAGAGTCGTTTGGGTAGTCGCTTGTCGTCCATGCGCACCAGGTGGCCGCTCCAGCACAGCTGAATTTGCCTCAGTATGGCGTAAATGCTGAGGATTCCCGTCCGTTCCAGCACATCAGAGTCGGAGATTCGATCCTGCCACTTTAGCCTCAGGATGCGACGAAGACAACTGGGGTGGAAGTGGTTCAGACGACGTGCCTGCTTTGCATACGCCGTCCAAGTCTCCGCTCCATACAATAGTGTAGTCAGGATGACGGCCTTGTACATCTTCAGCATCGTGCTCAGCGTCGTTGTCGTCGAACCAGTCCTGGTGTTGGCGGCGAGCGCGACCGAGGACGGCGAGCGCCGTCGACTGGACCGTGTCTCGCAGTTAACACCAGCGGTTCTCCACGGAGGCTTTCTCGGCAGCGGCGGCGTCGGCAGCGATAGGAAAGTTGTCTAGCCTTTGAGCTAGCTCATTGCTGAAATGAAGATGGTGAGCGGGCAAAGACAACAAGGCAACATTCAGCTTACCTGGGGGTCGCTTACCTTGTGGTCTCCTGCGAGGCTGCAGGCGAATACGCATCTTCGAGATGACGAGGCGATGGTCGGTCCACCCGTCAGCGCCCGCGATCGCTTTCGTCACCAGCACGTCCCGCTGATCTCGCCTCCGGACGAGGACATAGTCCAGCAGGTGCCACTGGCGCGACCGAGGATGCCTCCAGGTGGCCTTCTCTCGCTCTGGCAGACAGAAAAAGGTGTTCGTCAGGATGAGCTGGTGTTCTGCGCAGGTGCGGAGAAGCAGCAGACCATTGTCGTTTGAGCCGCGAAGACCGTGGGGACCCAGCACTCCGCTCCAGGCAGTATGGTCTGTGCCGACGCGGACGTTGAAGTCACCAAGGACAATTAACTTGTCCGCCTTCGACACAGTCGCCAAGAGGGCGTGTAGGCCCTCGTAGAATTTGTCTCTGACGGCGTCGGGGTTGGTCATCGTCGGAGCGTAGGCGCTGATGATGGTGGCGAATTTGCCTCCCCAGAGAGGCAGGCGGAGTCTCATCAGGCGATCGTTGATGCCCTGCGGCAAACAGGGCAGTCGTCCCACGATGTCGTTCCGAATGGCGAAGGCGACACCCGCGTCCCGTCGCTCTGCCCTGGGTCGACCGCTTCAGAAGAAGGTGTAGCCGGCACCCACCTCCTCCAGTTGGCCTTGTTCGGAGAATGGAGTCTTGCCGAGTGCGGCGATGTCCACCTTGTAGTGCGCCAGTTCTCGTGCCATTAGCGCCGTCCCCCGTTCCGGTCGGTTGATCCTCGGATTGTCTAAAAGGGAACGAACATTCCAGGCTGCCAGAATGAGCGGGCTAACCCTGCCAGTCTGGTGACAACGAGTGGGACGAAGGGAAGGAGATGGAGAAGAAGGTGACGAAGGAGAAGAATAGGCAGAGGAAGAGGAGGAAGAGGTAGGATGAGGAGAATGAGTATGGTTGTTGTTGTTATTGGTATTGTTGTTGTTTCGATTTTGATTGTTTCGACCATGATAAGACGTCTGCGGCCCTGGCTAGCCTTTAGACGGCGTGGTACCCAGCAATGTTTAGGCCATCTTTTCTAGGCCCTTCCGCTCGTGGGGACTGGCAGTGCCATCCCTGAATAGGGCTGCCATGTGCCATTGTGGCACGGCCGAACTCCACTATGGGGCCACGACTTCGGGTTGTAGTGGAGAGCGACTCGAATTCGCCGTCAGCCGCGGTCTCCGACGGCGTAGGTGGGCGCGTCAAGGCGATGTCGATGTGGAGATCCGTCCCGTCACCGGCTGTCCAGCGGCGTGCAGAGACGAACCACGTCACGACGGTGCCGACGCAAGGTTCCATCCGAGTTTCCATCCAGCGGAATCCGCAAACCCTGTGCACACGGCACAGCGCACATGGCCCCCTCACCTAATTTAGCCCGCCGGTTGAGACGGTTGTCCGGGGTGTGACCGCTGAGCAGAGTCCAGCTACGTGGAGCCACATGTGAGAGTTGAGTGCCAGCAAGTGGACGCTAGGCGCAGTCTCACCTGCAAGCAAGTGAGCGACCACCACCCACCGCTGACACCCCTACACCCCGACCAACTAACTAGACTAACTGACAAACTGCCTAACTAAACTAACTGACTAACAATTAACTAGCTAAATAAACTAACTAATAAACTTAATAACCAAGTAAAAGTTGAGCGAGTTGCGTGAGACTCAAAGTTCATAACCATATGCTAACTTCTCACTTAGTCGACTCTCTTAATGACATACTCCGGGTCTCTTAGTGGCTGGGGGTATCATCAAAAATAATTTCGCAAAAGTAAAACTCTAGAAAGGTCCCAGAAGCCGCCGCAGCTCTCGAGAAAATGTTCGACCAATCACTCCTCAGCACTCTGAAGCACGTCCGCATATCGCTTTTTTGGTCACTGGTTTCGTGAACAAGCACCTCAGTTTTGCACCGGCCGAATTTCCCGTTGCATTTGTTACTGCTGTGAGCATTCCTCCGTTATCGTTGACGTCGTGTTCTCTAGGCTCTTCCGTTACCTGATTGGTTCCATTTATATGCCTTGTTTCAGTCAGATCACTGGACGCTACGGGCTCACTTGTGTTGGCGCCTTGATCAGGTGGTTCAACGAAGGTGTCTGTTTTAGCTGAGTAGCTGTCGTCGTTCGTAGTATTACAGGCTGGTTCCACTGAAACGGCATATATTTCCGAACTACCTTCCCCTTGAAGATAGCCAGATTGTGTTCGCCACCCTTCAGTCTTGATTTTAACTCCAAGACAAGTTCCCGGCGTTTCAACAGTTCTGCTGGTGAATAGTCCGGTTGAAAAAAAAACCTGTTTGTGTGTGTTTCTGAGATCGGTTTTTTTAACTTGATAAACTTGAATTGCTCTTTGTTCTCCAGCATAATTTTGAGAGGGCGAGGTGGTTGTGCTGCTGTCCGGTCTTCACTCCTTTTTCCTATCCGGAATGCTTTCAGAACCTTTATCTTCATGTCTGGCGGGAGTAAATGATTTTGGAGTCCATGAAAAGAAGCAAGGTCCTTTGAGACACGATCTTCAGGTCTGACTGCATTCGATTCTGACAAACCCTGAATAACCAGACACTGCTGGCGAGCATGGTCCTCCTTACTCTGTCTTTCCGGTGAATGCGCTGCATGTGGGCAAAGACGATTTACGGAGTCATCGCTTGGACGCACATTTTTACTGTCTGCCGACTGTCCCGAGCAACCCATCAGGGCTGGCTGTGACTTCAGAATCCTGTCATGTCGTGTCCCTCTCTAATCTACCCACGGGTTTATGTCTTCGCATTCAGATACGTGCTCTGTAGTGCGGTTGGGGTGGTTGCCAGAACAAGAGGGCAACAGTAGACTGGATGACCCAGGTATATCGTCTCCATGCAGAAGAGAAATCCCATCACTTACAGCAAGAGGCTTAGGTGAGATGGCTTCCGCGCCAGGTAATTTTTTTGCGACATCGCTTAAGACATCTTGCGTGGGAATCGAGTCTGCCTTTATCGGCGGCTTCGTTTTCATTGTCCTGCTGTTACCGGTATCTGCGGTTTTGGCTGTTGAGTTGCTACTCGTGTTTGAAGATTCCCCAGAGGATATATTTTCGCGTTTTTTTGCGTTTTGCACATCGTTTTTGGGATTCTAACACTGGACACGTTCTGGCCGACTAGGGTCTGTTTCACGAGCGTCCTTAAATCAGCAATCTCCTTTTTGAGTTGTTCTACTTTGATTTGGATATCTGCACACCCACCACAAGGCTCGTCTTCGTACCTCACAATTTTTGCGGTACTTACGCTTTTTGCACGCTTTGCTGGTCGCTGGCTGGAGGCGAAGGTAGAGCGAGCACAGGTTCCGGATGCGAAGGACAACTCACCGGACTTATTTTCCAAAGAGTTGCCGTCGCTGGCCGTACTACTACAGTTATCTTGCTGAGAATCCATAAACTTCGACGTGATATAATAGGTATAATTTCGCTTTCGATGTTATAACGAATACGTCGGCTTAAATATGATGAATTTAAGTGAATATTCAAAACTCAATAAGCGAAAAAATACTGAAAATCCGATAAATTTTGTCGAATTTAATCAGAAGCGATTTAGCCCTTTCCAGATCTCGTGGGACTTGAATAACTGCAAACCTTGAAGGATTTTGAGCGATTGGTTTTCTAGGCCGTATATCCGCGATTTGGTTGCGTAGCCAGTTGCGATGTCAGTGAGACTGTGCTGATAAAGAAATTGCACTTAATCCAGGTTTGGTGCGAATTTCGATGCATGAAAAGATATTCCAAAAATGAACAAAGCAATTCTGTACGTACGGTTCCAGTATCAATTTCACAGACGGTAACTGTGGAATGGTAACCAAGTCGAAATTGTCACAGTTGGACTGCAGAATAATTCCGTCGTGCTCAGTTGGGCTCACCAGGTTGCACCAGGTTTAAATGAGATCATCGCGCAGTTGCCTGTAATTTAGAGGAAACAGATTTAGTTCGATCAGCCTGGTTTCGTAAGGCAAATGATGAAGATTCTTGACCATCTTCGTAGCCATCGCCTGTACTCTTTCCAGTCGTTGATAATCTTTCTTTAACCACGGTCCCCAGGCCTGGACTGCATACTCTAAGTGAGACCGGACGAATGCCCCATAGGTTTTCCCGAAGAGCCCTTTATCGATCTGCACAAATCCTCGCCTTAGCGCAAATAACACCCTTATTGCACTTTTGGCTGCCCTTTAACACTGTGATGATGGTTTCAGTAAGGAGGTCATTAGGACGTCCAGGTCTTTCTCTTCCACAACATTTGAAAGGGACTGACCACCAAGGACGTATGAAAGGAATCGTCCTCCTTACTGATCCGTCTGGTGCGGAGTCTCAGGGCCACACATTTGTCCACATTAAAATTGAGGAGCCAACGAGCTGACCAACTGTTTAGGCGGTTGAGACTGTCTTGAAGCGCGTACCTGTCTGCGTCAGATCTGATGGGTCTCCACAGCTCAACATCGTCAGCGAGCATGATGGCGCTGCATCCCAGGTCGTCGATGCAGTCGTTAATTTAAACCAGGAATAGCAACGACCCAACACGGAGCCCTGGGGTACACCACTTAGAACGGGGATAGGAGTTGACCGTGAGGCCTCAATGCACACGGTTTGCGATCTCCCGGTAAGAAAATCTTTTATCCATGTCAGCAGCCTTCCTCTTATTCCAATTTCAGAAGGTTTGTAGATTAGGCGTTTGTGTGGGACGCTGTCGAACGCCTTCTTAAAGTCTATGTAGATGACATCGACCCTACCATCCTCGTCCAGTGCGCGAGTCCACTGCTCCGTCGAGAGCAATAAACTGGAAAGGCACGAGCGGTTCTGTCTGAAGCCGTGCTGCAGGTCTGAGAGTAAATGGTCTTGTTCCAGGAACTTCATTGTTGCTTTCTTAACTATGGCCTCCATTACTTTCTGTCCTTTCTTCGGTTTAATGAACGCCTGCGACCGTAATAAAATCGAAAACGTTCAGAATGTTTTCACCCGCAAACTGTTCTCTGAAGCTTCGTCCAGTATTTCTTGTACTCAGAGACGTGAGCCGGCGAACATTAAGTTTTTTGGGTTAGAAAACTGGAAGCTCGCCTTTGCTTCCTTTTTCGCATCAACTCTAGCCCCAGTCTTTCGCTCATTGACACTCTCACTCAGAGAGATCAGTCTTATGACGCGCGCAACTCCTGCATGGTGATTCCGCCGCCTCTTTGTACTACATCTAAGCGCTCCCTCTTATTTGCTTCCAAATATGCCTTCCTTTGGAATAATCTTCCGCCTAAAATTAGATTATCGCCTAAGTTACCGGTATTCATGTCGATATTACACAAACATCTTACACCGGAAAGCATAAAGGCACTGTTAACGGTCTCATTCCCGAACACTCAGATTCTTGACTTCGAGAAGGGTCCTCCTGGGATTTTGTGGTAGATTAAGTGGTAACTCTTAATTATATTATTAGAAACCCCTGTTTTGAATTGGTTTCTAAATCCACTGCTATCACTCCTCCCCCATAGCGACAATTTTCGCGGTTTTTGATGTCATCTCCCGCATTTCGACCTCATGTGGTCTGTCGACGCTCAGGGCGGAACCCTCAGTATTCGCCGTCTACTAGTAGTTTGGTCGTACCTCCCTTCCCCACTGCTCGGCTAAGCTCGAAGCGTGCTGTGGCCGATCGCATCTGGGTTCCTCTCGTCTGGCCTCTTTGACGCGAATAATCTCATTCGGCGTATCAATCCGGCCCAGACGATCTCAAATGTGAATCACGTATACAATGTCACATGCAAGCCAGTCCTGTCTGACCCACATTCGTACCCCTCAAGGCTGAGATATATTGCTACCCTGACGATGACCGACGACATTCCGTTATACACCGCCATCCACAGGCCAGTCCTGCTGGCTTTTTTCTGTCATTATTTTTATTTATGGTTTTTTTCTCCTGTAAAATTAATTCAATCATTTTTAACTTTTTGTAAGGAATTTTTTTTCACCCCTCAATCATCATGTTTCTCAATGGACTACTAATTCAGAAACGATGAATTGCATTTTGTAAAGATTCGGCCTACCTCGTCTAAAACTCGCATGTAAATTTATTTTAACTTTCTTTGATGGGACCCCGACGGGTCTTTAATAAAAAATTATCTATCTATCTACTTTACAGCAGATACAGGTTAGACTGACAGGCCGGTAACTGTTGGCATTAGTGCGAGCCCCGCCCTTGTATATCGGAAAGATATTTTCTGTCTTCTATTCCAATGGCAGCCTTCCTAATTCGAATGACGAGCGGAAGATGTGTGCAAGTGGTTTCTATAGTTCATTCGCCAGTTCTTTGAAGAATTTGGCCGGTATATTGTCCGGACCCGAGGACTTTGATTCCTTGAGATTTGTCAGGTCCCTTTCCACGACAGCTGTCGGGAACAGTATGGAGTCAAGCACGGGACCAGTAGTCTCAACAGCATTTCTGGCACTGCGACTGCGATAGGTAGGACCCGGTGAGGTCGAGTAGAGGAGGCCGGATGCCGGGAGCTCCCAATTTTACGAAAAGACGTCTATGTGGCTCTTTGTTCAAGGATTAACTAATATCAAAGTATCTATCTACCATTAACGTTTTATTACAAATAGAGGTAATTACATCAAAAACTACCAAACGACAAGTTTTACAGGACCGTTCAGGTAAAAATGTATGTTGAGTAGAGCTCAGAAGGTGATAGTTAGATAGAAGTCAAGAAATTCATTGAAAATTATCCTTTCAAGACGTCTTACCAGAGACAATGTTTTGTTCAAGCCCGATATTTATTAGCCTCTAATCGAGACCCAGGCTTGAAAACAGGAATGATACTTGACGCCTTCCATGTTTCGGGAAAAATCCGCTCGACATATCAACCGCGAATAAATGACTGAGCAGTATGGGAAGGTCAGATGGACATTTAATAATCGAATTTGAGATCCCGTTCGTTCCTGAGCCCTGTGAGTTTTTCAAACAACTTACTTGCTTCTTAATAAGAATTGAAGGGACATCGATCGTGCTGAGTGTCCTATCTGAAGGCGAAAGAAAGGGACTGGTTCGGACTCCGTAATAAGTTGTTTTGCAAAAATAGCACTAAACAATACCGCCTTCTCAGAATAATCGATGAGGAAGATTTTGTTATCGTTTAGGAGGTGTGGAATTTCGTGACCACGCTTAGAGGATGACCAATTACGGAAGATTTTAACTACGGATTTGGCAAGGTTCGGATCACTGACAGCAAGCGATTCTCTTTGCCTGTCGGGCGCTTGGCGCATCCTTGAGTCCGTTTTAAAAATCTCTGTGATTTTTAGATGAACGGATAAAGAATTAGTGAATAGGTCGCATAGCTGCCGTCTCAACTTTTAAATCCGAACAAAGAACATGAGGGACTAGGGAATCCGAGGAATTAGACTTCAGATATCTACGGGACACAGAATCTAAGATGTCTTTTATAGCACTGGACATGACGTCACGAAGGATGATTGCATTACTACAGGATAGTAAACCACGTCAACCCACTGATCCAAGATAGTTTTTTATTAACTCGTTATCCATGCAATCGTAGTTTAGAAAGGTCCGAGCTGTGCCGGTCTTTTCTGAAAAGGCAACATTGAATTAATACGTGGCCACTATTAAAGAGGTCCTTTTAGAAAGCAACAAAAAGAGAGGCAATTTCATCGATAAATGCTAGATGTAAAATGTTATTATCTTTTGTTGATGAGCGCACCAGATGGGACCAGTTAAAAAAATTTACAATATCTTGGAATGGATGGAATCCAGGTGGACAGATATTGCAAACCCAGTCTATTTCAGGAAGGTTTAAATCCCCACTGATTATTTTAACATTGAAAGCAGCTTCCGAAATTGATTTAAAGATTTCCCAGATTTGTGAATTATCACTAGCTGAAGAGTTTGGGGATTGTAGATACAGACAATAATTGCGTTTCTCTGCTGCGAGGGAATAACAGATAGATAGATAGATAATTTTTATTAAGGACCTGTCGGGGTCCCATCAAAGCAAGGCAGCAGCCCCGGTGAACGAGGAGACCTTCAAGTACTAGGGAAAGTTTTTCAAGTAGGATCTAAGTTAAAGAAGACAACCGTCCACACGTCTAGCCGTGTGGTCTCAACAGTAAACATTGGAGTCATCTGTAAAAAGGGCAGAGTTAGGAATAAAAGAACGGGTCCAAGCTTCTGGTACGCATATAATATCAGGCGTCATTTTGAGAGCAATGGCTTTGATTCGGGCCATGTTGTTTATAACAGACTTGGAATTCAATAATATAATATCTAATGTGTTTTAAACAGCAAGCCTACCGTTGACGGTATTTTGGAAAAAATTTCGAGGTGGGCATGTAAACCATGAACTAATGTTATTTTGGGGATAAGTTCCCAGGAGTCTAGAATTCTCGACGTACAGGGAATCAGCGAGAGAAGGCTGGGCAGGATACTCAAGAGATGTGGGGATATCGTTTTCGGACAGTGGGATGGTAAGGGAATTGGAACGGGGATAGGCTTGCTTGTAGTTCATTTGTGGAGGAGGAGGAGGAGGAGGAGGAGGGAGCACAGAAGGAAGGTAGATTCTAGTGGGGGGGAGGCAGCTATAAGAATTAGAGGGTAGGAAACAAGGTGTAGATTGGAAATCAAAGGAGATAATCGGACTTACACGAGAGCAGTCGGCCTTGAGTGTTGATGAGAAGCCTGGACCAGGTTAGGAGATTGATGACTGGGGCGAGTCACGTACGGACAATTTGCGGGATGAACAATATGGCCTTGGTAAGTAGCCGGTATGCGAGACCGAATCATTTGGCGATATGGTTGGAGTTACGGGGTAAACAGACGAACTCGACATTAAATGCTAAGTAGATCTAAATTGAGGCGGCATACCATTGAATGGAGTTACAAACTTTTCTTCTAGGTCAGAATCGGATTCCGTTTTTGGATCACACCGTTTTGGCGCCATGCCACATGCGACTTAGATGGATAACTCGGAAGACCCTGTTGAAGTGGCAAAGCTATCGGTCCAGCTGATGTAGACGAAGTTTCGTGCTTCCTAGGGGGGCTATCAGGCGTATTAGGGGTAACAACTAGGGCTGTTGCTAACTTGGAGGCAGACAAATGCGTCAAGTGGCCCGAGTGGGGGGGGGAGATGTATAATTAAGTGGGAGGAGAGAGTCATATTTCGCAGGAGTAGGATTAGCTGAATGCTAGCGTCTACTCGTATTATAACCGAGTTGGTGAGCATTTGGCTAAGGCAATGAGGGTTTACGTTGGAAAAGGGACGCAATTCTACGTTCCAGGGTAGTAAGTTCATGATAAAGGAAAGAATTCGCGTTTTCCTGATATGCAGAAACACGATCGCAGTGGCCAAAGACTGAATCAACCTCGGCTGATGAAAAACTCGACTAAAATGGGCAGATTTTTGCTACGGAAAGACAGGCATTTGGTATCAGCTATTTTGTAATTTAATCCATACGAGTACAGGAGATCAACCGCAACATCAACTGGGCATGTAGATCGAGGAAATTTTTTTAATAAAAGGTTGTAAGCTCTTTTCTGTCTATTACCAGATTTATTGGCAACCAGGTGAACGAGTCAGCCAAGGTGTTTGCATTCTTGAGAGGGACAATCGGATATGTTTCCATCGAACAATTTTCTCAGAATTGGGAGCATAGTGCCAAACTTTAGTATACATCTTTGCAGTTTTAAATTGCAGGCAGATTACACTGCCTGCCATTAACAACGTGTAACGAATGGCTGGTCACTTCCTGTTTATATTTACTTAAGCCATGCCTAGGTACACCCGCCGAGAGCCTTCGCCTACCTGTGACTTTCGCTCTCATCTTGTCTCGAGACAGGTTGCAATTAAGTAAACTTCTGACGGATCAGGCGGTCAAATCGTAGCGAGAGCTAAACGATGTTAAAATTTACACAGTAAGAGAGAAATCAAATGCACATACTGTAAGTTACAGAATGCGACTGGTACAAACAAGCAAAACTCAATAAGGAAAAGGCAGACGACGTCTCTAAAAGGATAAGCCCGTATTTAAAGATAGTTACTCAAAAAAACAAAGGCTAAAACCACTGTGCTTGTCAGAAAAATAAATTGAAATAATATCTTCCACATAATTTAGATTTTGAAACCAGCGGCTGGATCTCGATCTTCTGTGCCTGCCGCACAGGTGACGCCAGCGGCAGAAGTGCAATGCTGGGTAGCAGAAGCAAAAAAAACACTTGGATTGTTTGTGAGAAGGCAAAGTCAAATAACGTTATAGAAACGACTGCATAATTAAGGCAGAGGGCCAAGTAACTGACCCTTGAGTGAACCCAGTAGTTGGAGATCCGGGGGTGTCACAGAAGTACGATAGTAAGATATGAAAGTGACTTTTGAGCAGCAACACCAGTTGGCGTCTTTATTGGCTGATGAGACAGATTCCAGTCATTTATGATGCTATTTTTGTGAAGAATACCGACTACTGTCGACTCTGCGGCCTGCGAAGCATTTTGCTACTGCTTCGGTCGTAGTTTACCGCTTTTTCTAAAGACTGGCATCTTGGAACTTGAAATATTATTTTTGTTACTACAAGTGTCGTATGCAGAAGAGTAAGTCACCAGTGGACATGAAAAAATCTACTTACTTTACATGGCGCAATGTCCTAATTCCATCGTTCACCTGGCAGCTCATGAAGATCACTTCTGTCTACATCATATTACTTTTTCAATTCACTTATTGTCGCCTTGTATGGATTGTGCAGTTCAGATGCTTAAAAATAAAGCTTTCATTATGAGGAATTCAGCACTGTAAAAATAACAATTTCATAGAATTAATTAGATTGGAATTAGTCAAGAAGTCGCCTTTCATTATGGCGGAAGCTGATATTGCCGGCAAAAACTGCTTAGGCCAGTCTAGCGCAGATAATTTAGTAGTTTTTATGTCATTCAGACTTACTGACGTTGGAAAGGTTAAAAGAAAAGTCGCCAAACCACTTTTTAGCCATACGGTAGTTTACAATGACAGGCTCGCTATTGTAGGTGAATGAGAACATATAAAAAAGTCAGCCGGCGCCATCTTTCAGGGTTCCCTTTTAGCTAGTTACGTTGATCGGTAATATAATCTCGCACTAAGAGGCGTTCGAGATAAGCCAAGTAATGCTGCAATGCCTGAGCGGACTTTCAAAGGATGTGCTATCTCATGAAATGTTAACCAAAATTTGGGAATGTGTTTCAATTCGAGAAGGTTTCGGTAGGGCTATAATAGTTATTGTCTTATAGTACAGCCAAAACATTTTCAGGTACGCACGAATGCCATCTGTAATGACTGTACATTTGAAAAATGCCTATTAATTTGGACTAAATTTTTCCATCCATCTTTAATGCCTTAATAAATCCAATTAATTTTTTTAGAAAAGGTGCACAAAATGTTCTGTCTTGTACTCAGTTGGTGGCAAATTACGTCGCTTTCAGACATTACCTTGCGGAGAGAAAGCGTCTTTCAGCTTTTAAAAACGTCTCCGATCACATACTTCTCCTTGCTGATACGAAGATGTCACATGGCAACTATGAAATTGTGCAATGGGTGTGGACCAACATACACACTTTATAAGTATCAGTTATCAACGTGCCGGTGCGATGATGAATGAATCGATATTTCACGGTCCAAAATGCCTCATAATTAGATACTATTTTTAAAACTGAAAGATAGCACTTCTTTAAGTATACAATTCGAAGAAGACGTAGTTTGCTACCAAATAAGTACAAGAAGAATATTCTTCTGCACGTTTTCTATGAACTATAATTACATTTACAAGGGTATCGGAATTCAATGGAAAAAATACGCGCTAATTAAATAGCTATTTTCTGTGTGGTGAAACAAATCTCACTTAGAATCCAGCACCCTGGTATATTAGAAATATCTTAGGATTATGGTAAACGCAGTAAAGGGTTTTGAGACTTCTGTGTAAAAGAATATGAATATGTGTCAAATGCTCGCTAAAGTTATCATAAAACTGCTAAAGTAATGATTTCGAATCGAAAACACATTTCAGAATTTTGGTTTACATTTCGCGAGATAGTTCATCTACTGTAGTTAGCAGTACCACCCAGTGCGTAACAGAGACAGTATGTTAAAAGCCCGTTAAAGAAACATAAAGACCAATAAACAAATAGCTGCCAAAGTTTGCGAACAAATAAAATCGTAGCAAGTGGCTACCGCAAGCGCGTATGACGTAGAAGTTGCAAAAGTACTTAATCCTCGAGTTCGGTCTGCGTGAAAAGTTCGCACAGCATTCGTTTGGCCGACCTAGACACATGTTAAATTGCAACATCCTTCGAGTGGATATAGAGGTCGTCATCAGGAATAGGATCTAGAAGTACCTCGGCGTAAACGGCGACATCGAAAGTAAATGCTGCATCACAAATGAGTAACGCGTGCGTCCACTAGTAATACGGCTTGTTGTGAAAGAGGCATCAGTTTTCCTTTACCACACGCGTGAATCACACGGCGCAAGCGGATACAATTCGATGGAGGGATCATTATCATCCCGGGAGCCAGTGTTTGTATCGACGTCAGTTACGGCAAGCAGAATTTAGTAATAATCTAGAAAATATGTGACACCAATTTTGTAGCATAGAAAATAATCAAGACTTCAAAATATTGACATATGCAGGAACACACATCCCTAAGTTTACGATGTCGTGTTTAACCTGAGAGTAATGACGCGAGAGAAGAACGGCAAAGTGAAATTATTGTACAGACTTGCAAAAACTAATGTCTTCTTTAGGACAAGGGTACATTACAAAGTAAGGGTCAGTTTCAGCTTATTTTTAGCTTATTTGGTAAGAATAACAGGCAAGGTCTTTAAAAAACCCTAGTGATCACATGTCAGCTCGCTAAATACAAATGTACATTTCCGGTACTTCCAAAATTTTATGAGCTGGTCCTTGCTGACAGTGTTTGTTGCCCGGATGAATTCAAGTCCGACAAACTGTGACTTGAAAGTAATCCCCAGATATCTATGGCGCTTGGGTAAATGATTCATGCACAGAAAGTGTGATTTACGGGCCATTGACAACAGACGGCTAATACAGAGCACGCATTGTCACAAGTCTAAACCGGTAGGTGTTTGCATTTAAGCATGCTCAAACAACAGCACAGAAAAGTTTAGGTGTATAAGAAGAAGTAATAAGAAAAATCGAAGGTGCAAATGGGCATGAAACACTATCTGCGGCCTCTGCACGTCACGACATAGTCAATACCGTAGGGAATTAGACTACTTTTGATGCTGGGATCTTTAAACACACCATCACACCTGGTATAAACAGGCCTCTACCGATTACCCCAGCAACCCCTAGTAAGCCTAAGCATGTGCCTAAGTCAAAGGCAAATGCATTTGCTGTCTCAACCACTCGGATACCCGACAAATCCAGCAAAACAGATTACTTAAGTAGGGTTTTAATATTGATTATCCTTAAGCACCACCCAAGACATGTCGGTCACGCCAGAAGGCCGGTCGCCCGCAAAAATGGCACTCATAGTTATAAAGATCATTAGGAACTGAAAATAGCCTTCATGCAAGTAAACAATCTATAGAAGACGTAAGTTGCCACTAAATGAGCACAAAACAAGAATAGAAATAGTGAATGTAACAAATCCTACTGAGGGTGGCATTTAATCCCATAGGTGTGCCAGGCAAATCCGGGTCGTCTTCCCACTAAAAAAAAAACGTCGTGACCCATAGCTGAATTCCGTAGTCGACTTGAATGAATAAGCTACTCTGTTTAGGGGAGGGGGGCACAGCTTGACCCAC